ACGCAGCCTGCAGCTTACTACCTTAGCCTGTAGCCTCTATATAGATTCTCTATTATATCTTCATTATTTTATATTATTTTCTATTATAGAAGTGTGCGTGTGGTAGTCTATACGCCGAATCTTTTCTTTCATAGTCATTCTCTTTGTTGATAATTTTTATCTAAATATATAGAAAGTTGGGGAGGAGTAGTTTATTAAGTAAGTTATTTGACTAACACGTCATGGGATTGTTTCAGGAGGCTCAGGCTATGGCGGCAAGCAGAGGGGAGGTCGCCAAAATCAAAGGCACCAACCCTATTAATGGAAATCCTTATTTGCGACCGCAATGTAATATTCATTGCAAACGCTGGTAAGTCAATTCATTCAAAGTAATTCCTAATGGTCAAAAAATCAAATTTTATATTATATCGTAATCATCCTTTGTTCAAACTATTACCCTGTACTATATTTTGTTATTGTTTTGTTTTGTTTCTGTTTTTGTTTTGTTCTGTTCTGTTCTGTTCTGTTTTTTGGTTTTGTTTCGGTTACTAAAAATTATTAAACATATTAGAATTCGAACCAATGATTATGAAAGTGGTCTTAAAAAGTCATTTTGAGTTATTAAAAAACATTTTGTGTCACACGCTGTTCTTAACATTTTAAAATTACATAAAAAAAAAAAAAAACAATTATCCTTCAGGAATAAATGGAATTTAATTTTTTTTATTTTTTTTTTTTTTTTTTTTTTTCCATTTTGTGTTATAGTAAAACAAAATAATTTTAAAATAATTCGAACACGTATGTCAAAATATTTCAAAATGAAAACAATATGGCTTTATCAATTTCCAACTCTCGGTCTCTTCTCATTTTTTCAATAATTGAAAAGAAATATTTAATAACTTTGGATAATTTCTTTGGTAAATCAAAATTTGTCAATTGAATTTTTTTTTAATAATCTTTATTTATTTATATTTTTAATATTTGTGATAAGAGCGAAAGAGATTTGTCGTTAACAATTGTTTCTTCTTCTTTTTTTTTTAGGTTTCCCGCCCTACAAATTTCATCATAAATCGTCAAATCATCATCATTCCATTAATAAACAACCACGTCATCTACGACAAGAACAACAACGCAGACAACTGCCGCTTAACAAATTCAGTCATCAAGATTCACAATTAAAAACAGTAAAATAGTTGATCATGTTGCGTTTAACGTATAATAGCATTGTGGAAGTTAGAGAGAAAAAAAACATTCGCGCGAACGTATGAAAAGAAAGAAAGAAAGAAAGAAAGAAAGAAAGAAAGAAAGAATGAAAAGAAAACAAAAGAAAAATAATGTATATGCATATACACATGTATATATTTCTTTAAATGCGTATATGTATGTACATAATTTGCTTCCATCTCTCGTTTACCCCTTTGTACAATATAGTCCAAACTCTTTTATTATATATTATAGTTTAAAGACTATTCTCTCATTAACTCTCATTGATTTATCTCCATTTTTTATTTATCTTAAAGTTTCTACAATTAATTAATAGCATTAATGTCTCATATAAATATATTATATATATATATATTCAGTGTTGTAAGGCGTGTGTGTGTGTGAGATCGTATATATCATATTTACGTTAAAAAAAAAAAAAAAAAAAAAAAAAAAAAAAAAAAGAAAGAAAAACTAAGAAGGAGAATAAAATATTTGCATTTTTTTGGATATGGCCAATGAAGTTGTAAAGATATGGGTAGTACAATTATAAACGAACGTAGTTTTCAATGATTACATTAAACGCGACCATCAAAGGACAACAACCGTAACAACACCCACGCCTTTTTTACTCCCACAAAAAAATATTTAAATATTTTGTGGCGTTTATTAAATACATGATTCTTATTTTGTTTTTTCTTTTTTCTTTTTTTTTTCTTTTTTTTTCTCTTTTTTTTTTTTTTTTTTTTTTTTTTTTCTTTTTTTCTCCTTGTGCAAATGGGAAAGCAATAGATGAAAGATAATAATAATAATAATAATAATAATAATAATAATAAATAATAATAATAATAATAATTTAAAATACGAAATAGTGTGTAGAGAATAAATAAAAATACGAGTTCTCTCATTCGTATAACTTCGGTGAACAGAGCTGAGGAAAAAGAGAAGAAAAATAACACAACCAACTTTGTCCACATTTTTAACGATATAAGATTATTTTAATTTTGTCTATAATTAAAGTTAATAAATGGGTGGGGAGGGGGGAGATGAAACCTGCCGTAGAAGAGTAAGCAGAGGCAATGTACTTTTTACACATGAATGTTTCAGCAACAAAAGAAAAAGAGAAAAATGTAATAGATGCCCAACTGTTTATAGTGATTATTATGGGGGGGGGGGAGAGAGAGAGAGAGAGAGAGAAAAAAGATGCGGTAAAAAGATTATTGCTTCCTTATTGGTAAGAATAATAGAATAAAATAAATTCATTTTGTGTACATAATATATCTTGCATACGGTTGTGTGTGTGTATTTGTATTGACCAGGTCCTATATAATTATTTTTTACTTTAAAAACAAAAGAAAAGAAAGAAAAAAAAAAAGAAGCTAAACAAAAACAGTATGTACACAAGATTTCTTTAATGCGTCAAATCTAAAATATAATATTAGATTTACATATAAGACTGAGGAGGGTTTATCGATCTTATTATAGAAAGGAAAAAAAAAATAATAATAAAAAGTATATATAGAAGAGTAAAAAAGAAAAAAAGGAAAAAAAAAACAAGTATTTTGCTGATTCTATTGCAGCTAATTATGTCTTCGGTGAGATGATTCTTCGCTCTAATATGAAGGGAAACGACTCTGCATAGGTATTCTTAATATTTATATATTTGACACAATTTTCTTTGTAGATATATATAAAAAGAAAAAAAAGTAAGTCGTATATTAATGTATATCAAGTACAAGTCTCCATTGTATTTTTCTTTTTCTTTAATCTACGAATCCTGTGCTCAAGTCATGTGTTGTAATATTTCCTTGGAAGAGGGGCGGGGGAGGAGGAAGAAAAAGAGAAAACCAAGAAAGGGAGAAGATACACTAAATAATGTTTTAAAATAAAGCTTTCAGTATTTTGTTTGATATAGATTAAAAACAACAACAACAACAACAACAATAATAATAATAATAAGTTGTTAAATAGCGCGATTGTGACTTACCTATTCTGTTAAGATATTTTTTCGTAGATAGGATCACTTTTATAAATTAAGTAAATAAACTCTTATATCACATTAATTAAAAAAGATTAAAAAAAGAAACAAAAAAAAAAGAAAAAAGAAAAAAAAAACGATTAAAAACTAATAATAAATTCCGCCTAGTATACTAATCGATATATGTCTCCAGTATAAAGTTCTCAGACATCGTCGAGCTTCGATGTTTGATTTTAACTTCGCGATTGTCGTTTAATAAAAATATTGTAACATTAGAGAGGAGAGAGAGAGAGAGAGAGAGAGAGAGAGAGAGAGAGAGAGAGAGAGAGAGATGAGCGAATGAGTGGGAGAGAGAGAGAGAAAGAGAAATTCTTAACTATAATACGTTAATAATGAGATTTTTTTTCTTTAACAGAAAACGACAAGTTCGATTTTATCAAAAACCATTGTTCTGTCAATTGATTTAACGGGAGATTAAAATTTTGTAATGAAAATTAATGAGAAATACTTTTGGATTTCAGAAGGGTGAGAGAGGGAGAGAGATAGAGAGAGAGAGAAAGAAAGAAAGATAAGATTAAAAATAATCTCGGTTATTATCTTGCTAAAAAGCATCAAATCTTTATCTAAAAATTAACATTCTTTGATTGGCGTGTAAGAATGACATCATATATATATATATATATATATATATATATATATATATATCATTATAATTCATTATATATTTATATATATATATGTAATGAATTTGAATGTAGTCTTTATTAATTAATGCGAACTATAATAGAAACGTAACGAGAACTATCGATTGATTAATAAACAAAAGAAAACAACTTAAAAAAAAAAAAAAGAAAATAGGTTATACGTGGTGAAAATTGAAATCGATTTACAAGCGCGGGAAATAGCGACCAATGAGCGAAGAGCTTAAGTGAGATACTATCTTAAGATGCAGACGAAAAATGGCGTTCATCCAAACTTTAGGCCTCTCGCTCATTGCTCACATCGTGATTATTTAAAATCGTTAGCCTGAGCGATGCTCAAGCGATGTACAATTGTAATTTTTAACGGCGTTCCGAAAACACTTTATTCCCTTTTCTTCAAATATTTTTGACAAAAAAGACACCATAAAAAAAACCATGACTTTTTCTTTTTCCTCAGTAATATACACACACGCATACATACATACGTACATACATACGACATACATACGTACATACATACATACATACATACATACATACATACATACATACATACATACATACATACATACATCCATACATACATACATACATACATACATACATACATACATACATACATACATGTATATCCTCGTATTTAATATTTTTTTACAAAGAAAAACACATATTACATTATTAAAGAATATAATCTTATCGTCGAATCAATTAATGCGAACAATTCTAAAAATATTTTAAAAGTTTCATTATCTTAGTTTACAGAGAAACGATACGAATATAAAAATAGATATTATCTATTGATTCGTTAAGATCGATAGAAAAGAAAAAAAAAAAAAAAAAAAAAAAAAGAAGAAGAAAAAGAAAAAAAAATTACAAAACAAACGTTCATATCAGATAATAAAGATAACAAAGAGAACAATTTAATAAATAAATATTCATATAGAACGAATTGAAAGGATAATAATAATAATAATAATAATAGTATATATCAATAATTTTGTCCAAAAATATTTAGTGTATTAATACATATATATATATACACATAAATATGCGCCTTAAGTATTTAGTTCATATTTTAAACGATAGGGGATGCCACAGTTAGTGATCTCGGAAGCAGTAACTTCTTTCTATTTGACTAGCTTTTCAGTGCAGGTTCCGCTGCATGTGCTGACACCAAGGTGCTCGGAGGTCCCAACACTGAGAACTGTTTTTATAATTAACATTATCGTGGACTGTTGTTGCTCTCGTGGAAAGGCTGTTCTCTCTCTCTCTCTCTCTCTTTATCTATCTCTCTCTCTCTCCCTCTTTTTCTCTTTCTGTTTTTCTCTTCCCGGCTTTCTCAATATCATCGGTAAACTCAGTGCTTCGCGTCTATTCAAGAGCGATCCTTGTTAGGTGAGTGTAAAACAGTAATACGAATCACGTAAAAAGATATCACACGAAGTTTAGTGATATTCGAATTTTCGTAATAGTGAGCTTCAGAAAGAAAGAAAATTAGTGAGAAGAAAGAAAGAAAGAAAGAAAGAAAAAAGGAAGAAAGGAAGGAAGGAAGGAAGGAAGGAAGGAAGGAAAAAAGGATACAAGATCGCGGGTTTCGCCTATGCTATACCTCCTTCTTCTCGTTTCTCCCTCTCTTCTTCTCTCCTTTTTCATCGTTCTCCTCTATCTCCCTCCGCGCCTCGGTTTCTAATTTACGTATAATTACGAACGTTTTATCGAATATCCAATTGTTTCTTGTTTTTTTTTTTTCTTTTTTTTCTTTTTTTTTTCCTCTCCTCCCATTAAACATTTACAAATCATAACAATATAACCGATAAGAGATTTAGTATGTTTATGATTTACTTCAATTAGTTTCTTTCCCCCAAAGCGTGCTTTCTGGGGAATTTTTGGATTAACCGTCCCACAGAAAGAGATCAAGAAAAATCGCCATGCTTGCTCGTAAGACCGACCGACCGACCGACCGACCAACCAACCAACCAACCAACCGACCGAACGACCGAACGACCGGGCAGGCAGTCCCTTCTTTGTCCTCGATTTCCTCCCTCTAGCCCCACCTCCTCTCCTCTCCTCACCTCTCCACGATTTTATATTTAATCGAATTTATAATCACACGGAAATATTTCGGGATATGCTTCGCGTTATTTCTAATTGTCTTTACCTAACCCCCATTTGATGATATTATTTCTTTGCGTTCTCCCGCCTATCTTTGCCCGCGTTCTTCTTTGATGCTCTCTAGCGTGGATCGACACACGCCACATTCCTAGTCTTATGCATACTCGTGTTCCTTCCCATTGTATAAATTTCCTCTGTCTTTCTCTCTCTTTCTCTTTCTCTCTCTCTCTCTCTCTCTCTCTCTCTCTCTCTCTCTCTCTCTCTCTCTCTCTCTCTCTCTCTCTCTCTCTCTCTCTCTCTCTCTCTCTCTCTCTCTCTCTCTCTCGTTTTACGAGTTAAATTTAATTTTGTTTATATTGAAATTTTAAGATTAGCTATATACAATTTTTGTCATTTACATGTAATTAGGAATAATATAATAATAGAGCTTTATTATTAATAATTTATTAAAAATTATTTTATAAAAATTATTTTATAAAAAGAAATCTTTGTAGAAGTTACATCAGGGTTTTCTTTTTTATTTTATGCGCACTCAGTGTCTCATGTGATAATGCTAAGCAGGACACACTTGACATGATGTGCAAGGATTCTTTAGAATTTGTTTCTCTCCAACCTCTCTCTCTCTCTCTCTCTCTCTCTCTCTCTCTCTCTCTCTCTCTCTCTCTCTCTCTCTCTCTCTCCCCTTCTCCCCCCCAACTATTGTTTTATATCGATAATAAAAATTCTTATTATTTATTTGCCATTTCAGATATTTGCTTCATCAAACTGCAGCTTTGGCAATCGAGCAGTTTAATCAATCTTTTGGCAAATTGTTTTGGAGAGACCAAAAAGAAAAAAGATGGTCATGGAGGCATCCCCCTCGCCGCAAAGTGTCGGACGCGAATTTGTCCGACAATATTATACTTTGCTTAATCAAGCCCCAGCACATCTTCATAGGTATTAATTGTTTACTCTAATAAAGTATCATTTTATTTATTTATATTACATTGTTATGGCAGTAATAATTGATAGAATATTTTGTAGGTTCTATAATCAACATTCTTCTTTTGTACATGGCGGGTTAGATTCTAATAGAGAATCGACGCCTGCTATTGGTCAAAAACAAATACATCAAAAGATTCAACAACTCAATTTTCGTGATTGCCATGCAAAGATAAGTCAAGTTGATTCACAACTTACTCTTGAAAATGGAGTTGTTGTACAGGTAAATAGTATATATATATATATATCTAATAGCATAATTAATTAACTTTTAGATAATTAAGTACAAGATATTTCATTTGATATATTTTATTTTATAGGTATCTGGCGAATTATCTAATGCTGGACAACCGATGCGCCGCTTCACTCAAACTTTTGTGTTGGCCATCCAAGCACCAAAAAAGTATTACGTACACAATGACATTTTCCGTTATCAAGATTTGATTTTTCCTGATGAAGAAGAAACGGATGTGAGTGGGATGGAAGGAGGTATGAATGAGACCACTGAAAGAGATGCGGAAGAAGGTGGTCCTTCTGAACCAGATGAAGATGAACATCAAAATCAAGGACAGCCACTTACAGGCTCTGCACCAACTGCCGAACCGCAAAGTCAACCCACTATTATTCCTACGCAACAACCTCAACTTCAACAACAACAGATCTATTATACACAACCACCACAGCCATTGGTTAGTATTATAGGAAATAAAATATGATAATAAAGAATTGATATGTTCTATAAAATATTCATATTATTTGGATTGCATTAAACGATTAGGTACATCCTGTGATGCAACAAGTTTTAAACGGATCCGTTCATGAGGAAACGACATTGATTAATCAACAACAGCCTCAGCCTCAACAGCAACAACAACAACAACAACCTCCACCACCACCTCCCGTACAACAGCAACAACAACATCAATATGTTGCTGAGACAGCAGCACAGACTCAGTTTGTTCAAGAAGCAGAAACAGATACAGCGGCGGAACAGCAAACGTCGGCGGAGGAAGAACCGCAAGTACAATCAGAAGAAACTCAGGAACAAACGGATACTGAGACATTTACACCATCTGCACAAGAAACTGAACCTGAACATCAAGTATCTAATACGAATGTTAGCAGTAGCGGGCCTAAAACTTATGCTAATTTGGTAAAATCTTTTCCAAGTTCCACCGCTACTCCTAGTCCTCAGGTTCCGAAGATATCTATGTCCCCTGTAAGTTCCTATGGTTTATGTAAGATATAATTTATGATTTATTTGATTTATTAATTACGAATTAAATAATTAAATATTTAGACGTGACAAGGGACATTCGATTCTTATTGTTTCTTACTTTTTTTTTTTTTTTTTTTTTGTTTTATTTTTTATTTTTTAGCCACCAATGACGAATTTGAGGTTAGACGATAGATCACCGTTGCATCCTACAGGTAGTGGAGCTACATTATCAGGAATGAACGTGGCTACGTCTCAACCACAAACTCATAGAACAAACAGTAATCAACAACCTCAACAACAACCACAGCATCAACAACAAAGAGCCTCGAGAGGTGGTCTTGTTCAACGAGGTAAACTATAAATAATTTCTCATCCCAATATTATTTTAATCTAAATATATTATTTTTATCTAAAAGATAATTAATAATTTATATATCTCTTATAAGATGGAGAAAGACGTGGAGGAGCAAGACCGTGTCAATACAGTGACGCTCATCAACTATTTCTTGGAAATTTGCCACACAATGCGTCCGAACACGATTTGCGTCAATTATTTGAACGGTATGGCAGAGTGGCGGATTTACGTGTACACAGTAAATCCAGTGACAGATGCAAAGGTCCATTGGGTAGTAACAATGCTGCGAAAGTACCGAATTATGGATTTATTACTTTTGAGGATCAATTAGTTGTTACGAAAGTGTTAAACTCTTTGGTTAGCTTTTATAATCAATTTCTCTACTTTTTTTTTCCCCTTCTTTTTTCTAATATATTATCATATGTGTGAAGTATTATAATATTGTATTTTATCGTAGCCTATATTTTATCCTGATGAGCACGGACAAAAGTTGAACGTGGAAGAAAAGAAAACTAAGCCTAGGATGTCAATGGATGGTAGTGGAGGAAGATTGAATTCTGGTGACGGTAATATGCGACCAATGGGAGGACAACAACAACAACAGCAACAACAGCAACGTGGACCAGGTAACGATCGTAAAATCGTTAGATGATCATGTCGTGATCATTTAACGAGAAATGATTTAACGGTAGTATAGATATGGTAACTAGAGTGAACGAGAGTGAGAGCGAGAGTGAGAGCGAGAGAGTGAGCGAGAGCGAGCGAGCGAGAGAGAGAGAAAGACAGAGGATGAGATAGTATTGATCGTAACATTTAGTAAGAGTAGTATGACACATCGATTGTAGGTGGACCAGGAGGAGTGATGAGGGGTGGTCAACATGGAGCAAGAGGTGGTCGCGGTGGCTTTTCAAGAGGAGGAGATGGTGGTAGGGGAGGTGGTGGAATGAGACAACCTGGTAATCCAAGCAACGCCAGTTATCAAAATCGTCGCTAATATAAAAGTGATGATTAAAAAGAGTCATCTCCCATTCCCTTCTTTGTCGGATATAAGTCTCACCGGTACATTACTACCATCCTCTCATTCCCAAAACACACACAGAACCCAGGACTAGTTCGTACGCTACTCGACGTCGATAAAGATGTCGCCCTTGTACGCTTATATCTGCTTGAAACGTTCGTCAAGCAGTTAAAAACTATTAAACCAGACGTCGGCACAATTAGTACGAAATACGAACTCGAACTACGTGATGAAGGATATACAATATTATGATATGGCTTATATTCGTGATCACATTAAGCCAATATAATATTTTCTTCATCAGACGTCAAGACTTAAAAAAAAAAGGAAAAAAAAAAAAAAAAAGGAAAAAAAAAAAGGAAAAAAAGAAAAAAAGAGATGGAAAAAGAAAAAAAAAAGAATAATTACCTTTATTCTTCTTCTTCTTCTTCTTCTTCTTCTTCATGGCCACCACACCCAAGTCGATAAAGTCAACTCGAGTTTGTTCTTCATACATTAACCGACCAGGAATTTTAAAGACTTTACAATGAAAACTTAATAAACGAAATAATATTAACAAAAATAAAGAAAAGGAAAGAAAAGTACATACATACATACATACATACGTATATACATACACACATACGTACACACACCCAGCCACACACATCATATATACACACAAACATATGTTATATGTACGTGTATAATGGAGTGACACGTGACCATCTGTCTGTAAATCCTGGACAACGTCTTTCAACAATAACAACTAGTACTGCTACTACTATTACTACTACAACTATCACCATTACTACTACTTCTGCTACTACTACTACTACTACTACTACACTACTATAGCAGCAGCAAAAAATAACAACGTACACAGGGTACGATGTTTCTTCTTAAACATCAATTTCAGGCAAAAAGGATGAAAACAAAACAAAAAAAGAAAGGAAGAAATTTCACTGGGTATATTAATTATAAGGAGAGAGTTATAATATAGTGTGACGTGGATCTAATTTGTATTTTCTTTTATTTTCATCTTATTCTCTCTTTCTCTCTCTCTCTCTCTCTTGCTCTCACTCTTTCTCTCTTTCTCTCTCTCTCTCTCTCTCTCTCTCAACAACACGTCACACATACATATAACTCTTTTTCTCTTAATTTATTCCACCTTTCCATGAGCCAAATTAATCCTACGATCTAAGTGAAAAAAAACAAAAAAAGATAAAAAAGAGAGAGGGAGGGAAAGAAAAGAAGAAAGATAAAATCATTTATTAAATAACATCTTCGAGTGTACACTCGTAATAATATTATTATTAATTCGTTAACTGCCGACGATAAGACACCTGGTTCCTTCACCCCCTTTAAGCGCAAAGAAGAATATCGACGAAGAGATTTGTTCATAGATTATTATCGATTTGGTCGGACTGTTGGTAAATAAACTAGTAGGGAACTGCGATTGTTCTGTGGTCGTATCAATAAGAACAAAAAAAAAAAAAAGAAAAAAAAAAAAGAAAAAAGAAACAAAAAGACATTGTCAAATTTCCTTTTTCTATTAATTATCAACAAGTATAAATATACATACACATACACACACAGACACATATACACACATAATATAACGTTATATACATGATCAATCGACCGGTATCGATTGATGATGATGATGATGATGATGATGATGATGATGATGATGATTATGATGATAATACATAAAATATTTCTTCAACTGCAGCTGGTCTCGCCATTTCTCACCATTCATCTTCTCACGCAATAGAAAGTTTTTCTTTTTTTCTTTTTTTTTCTTTTTTTTATTTAAACTTCCCCATAATTTTTTTTTTCTGTAAAACATACCGTGTATCCTTAATCATTATTCTTAAAAAAAAAAAAATATATATATATATATATATGTATATGTATGTATACAAATTTTGTTTTTCTTTGGTCTTTCTTTTCTGTCTTTATTATACTCCTCATCCAAATCTCACACATTATTTATTTGGAAGAGATTAACGTAGTAGAGAATTAACAAAAATCGTACCTGTACTTCCAAATCGTATTTACAATTGCGGATCATATCCCTTATCAATTGTTTCGAATGAATGAATGAATGAATTGAAACAAATTAATTGTCATTGTCATTGTTGAGAAAATCAATATATATATATATATATTTCAATATATATATATATATTTCAATATATATATATATATGCATATATATATATATATATATATATATATATATATATGGTTGGCTCTCTGATGATCGAAGAATTCGCAGTGTTCTGCTTCAAATAATAATATTAATAATTTAAAAAAGGAAGAAAAAAAAAGAAAAAAAGGAAAAAAAGAAAAACGGGGAAAAAAAAAGAAAAAACAAAAAATTATCTGAAGAAAATAAACAATCAATAGATACACACAGCAGACACACACGTACACGTATTATACACCTACACGCGCTATAGTAACATAAATATTATAGAACGGAATAAGTGAAGAAGATGATAAAAAAACAAAAAAAAAAAAACAAAAAAAAAACAATTAAGTGCATGTCTTCGAAATGGGTTTCTCTTCTACGTGTCGATTTTAATATTCGCACGATTATTGCGATTCATCGATGGAGATCGACACTTAGAAAAATTAATAATAATAATAATAAATAATAATAATAATAATAATAATAATAAATAATAATAATAATAATAATAATAATAATAATAATAATAATAATAATAATAATAATAATAATAATAATAATAATAATAAATAATAATAATAATTATACAAGAAAAAAACCAATCACAAGAATTCGACGCTAATTGTTTTCTTCCTTGATACACTACTATTATTATATACGCTATAAAGTTATTATTAATTATTACTGTAACTGTTAACAAAAAATAGAGACAGGTGGGCAAAGAAATAAGACTTTTGATATTCGATTGGAATGAATTTTTGCTGTTTGAATGATTGATGATCTGATATATCCTAATAATATTTACATATGTATATGTATGTATGCATATGATTATGTGTATGTGTATATATATATATATATCATAATTGAAAGGGAGAGAGAGAGAGAGAGTGAGAGAGAAAGTAGTCGACAGTTTTCCTCTTTTTTCCTATTTTATTCCCTCGATAAATAAATATTTCCATGAACATTAAAAAAGAAAGAAAAAAAAAAAATTAAATAAATAAAAATAAAAAAGGAAAAATCTTAGATTTAAAGGACAAATAAAATATATGAATATAAAGAAGGAAATATAAGATAGTCGATGTGTTAGTTGAGAAAAAAATATTGGCAAGTCGATTTTTAAAGCTGCGATATTATTACATTTGTTGCCAACCGAAATGTAAAAAAAAAAAAAAAATACAAAAAATTTGGTAGTAAACCAAGAAGAAGAAAAAAAAATCAATGTAAGCAATTTTGTCTTTTTATACTTAATTAATTCATCTAAATCGATACTCGTATATTAATAAAAATTTCACTAGTAAATATTATATTATATATTGAGAGAGAGAGAGAGAAAGTGAGAAAGTAAGAAAGTGAGAGAGAGAGAGCAACATATTTTTCCGGCCTACCAGCCCTTCGAATGATCGATAAATCTATCGATGGATATATCTTTTTTGTATTTTCTTTTTTTTCTTTTTTGCAAAATAATCTACCGTTTGTATAATCTAAGATAGACGAAGTCTCGAATTTTTGTTTGTAAAGAGTGAAACGAGAAAAAAAAAATAAAAATATATATCTTTTTTTCAAAAGGTGGAGGTTTTGCGGCAAGTTAATTATATAAAATTCAAAAATTTGAATATTTTAGGCACGAAGTTAAATAAATAAATAAATAAATAAATAATTAAATTAATTAATTAATTAAAGTAAGATTAATAATATAATATAAACAAAATTCACACATCTGAAAAAAAAAGCATAACTCAATCGAATCACGTTATTGATAATTTTCGTCAAATATTCATTATCGCACACATGATAGCGTCATAATTTCTAATCAATTAATAATAATAATAATAATAATAATAATAATAATAATAATAATAATAATAATAATAATAATGTTAATATTAATGAATTGATTAATCGTTTAATCAATCAATCAATTAATTAATTTAAAACATTATTCGATCGTGAATGCCAAAATTAACAAAAAAAAAAAAAAAAAAAAAAAAGAAAAAAAAAAAAAAATAGAATATCATATATATCATTAGTATCGTATAGAGTTTTTTTCGTCCTTACGGAGAGATGCAATAAATTTTTTTTAATTATAAAAAAAAAAAAATGTTTTCAAATATTAATGTTCCTTTACTCTTCAATTTCTTTTTTTTCTTTTTTTTGCTTAACTATTATCCATTTTTTTCTTTTTTTTTCATTCTTCAATAAATATACATTTAATAACACGATACTTCTCGTAGCACTTTAGAATGCCACCAATATCGTTCTTCGAGATTAAAGATTAAAAAAATAGATAAAGAGATAAAAAGAAAGAAAAGAAAATTAATTAGAAGAAGAAAGAAAAAAAGAAAAGGAATCACGATGATACTACCGTATCTTAATCGTGAATAAAGAAATAGTTTCGTGTTGCTCTGAGATTATATATATATATATATATATACATATATATTATACTTATATATATATTTTTAATAATTAATATTTGATATTGTCTAAGCTTCTCGAAATTATGATTTCGCATTAGAAGACAACCAGCTTTCTAACATTGCCTGTATAAGACAATTTTCGATGTTTAGCCTTTCTTACTTTGTACAAAATAGAAAGAGAAAAAGTTGCATGTATGATTAATCATTTGCGATGGAAAGACGTGCCACGCACGTCGAGATGATTCCGTTACCGGAATACCAGCGTCGTGTTACACACGTCGTCAGATGATTGTTGCAGAAAGTAACATGACGTGCGTGGCACGTCAACCGTGAATTTCTTTGCACCGCAAGTGATTAATAACAAATGTATATCGATTTTTCTGCCAGATTTTTTGTACGGTGCTTTTTATCAGCTGATTGTCAAATTGATGTGAGATAAATCAATTGACAGGATAGAATAATCGAATTTTATGATCTAATACGAATAACAAAGAGAAAGAAAAAAAGATATATATATATATATATATACATATATGTGTGTATATTTATGTTTGTGTTTGTACTTAGAAAGAGAGAAAGAGAGAGAGAGAGATTAGGATGCAACTTGTTAAGCATAACTTTAGTTACTTTTTGCTAAGCATAATACGTCGTCGTTTATATAATTATTATTTCCTTTTATTTGCCAATGAAGATGTGTGTATATATGTATGTAGATATTTATGTAGTACATATGTAGAGTATAAAAAGACCGTCAAAGCGCATTAATAAATCCACAGTGACGCGGATTATTCCTTTACATAGGAACAAAAACTCTTGTAAAACTATAAAATATATAATTTTTTTGATTTCTATAAAAGAAGAAGAGAGAGAGAGAGGGATTGGGGAGGGAGAGGGTCATTATGATTAATATTATAAAATATTCAAGGTCAAAACAAAATAAATAAAAGTAAGAGCCATGCAGCAGCCACACGTGCACGTGCGCGCGCACACACATAACATACAGATTCGCGCGCACACACATAACATACAGATTCGCGCGCACACACATAACATACAGATTCGCGCGCACGCACGCGCGCGCGCACACACACACACACACACACACACACACGCAAGCACGAGAAAAGCGATTAGATTATAAAATATATAATGACGAACTTTTCTAGCAAAAATAATGATTTCAGCCTGGGACAAAATTTTGTGTGTATGTATGTAAAACTGTGGACGAAATTATTACGATAAACCAAAAAAAAAGATAGACAAACCATGAAAAAAAAAGAGAGAGAGAGAGATAATGTTGAGAGAAGTAAATGAGGAGAAGAAAAAAAATATTTAATGTAATGTAACTTTTTGCATTTAGTACATAATATACCTACCTTACTACTAACAAGTCGAAACTGTTTTTTTTTATTCTCATGTTTAAATTATTTTCTAAATGAAAAAAATTTTATTCCGGATGATTATAACATTTTTTGTTTCCTCATCCCCTTATAGTATATTGTTGTCTTTTTGGCCAGAAATTATTAGATTATATATATATATAAGGTTATGAATAACAATAAATAATCTATTGATGATAAAAAAGTCGTTATGAGTAATATTATAAGTCTATGAAGTTATTTTTCCATGATC